TCTTCTTCTAGCTTTGTAAAAACTAAGCCCAACTCAATCTTATTATAGTAACGCTACACTGAGTTGCGACAGGAATAAATTTGCTTGTGTGCCGAACGGTCGGTTTCCCCTACTGCCCTTACCTGAAGCAGAGATGCCTTTTCAGACCTAAAGGACTGATGGTTAGGAAGAAGTCTGTATATATGGTACCATCTTCATTCATGGTCTTGCATTAGGTTTTATGGCTGTTGTTTAGAGTGAGGTTCCTGAAGATTTACTGCAAATTCAGTAGGAAAACATATGCAGCTTTTAAGAAGATATCTGCTGCCATCAGCCACTGCCACAGCTACTGCCAGAGCTGACCAGTGCGGCGTGTGGAGCTCATCAGCCTGACATGCCTTTGGGTGAAGACAGGTCATTTCATGCTGATAGGTATGGTCTGTGGAGACAAGCTCTGCATATGCAGATTTGATGATTGCTGCACTCACCACTATTTCAGGCTCTCAGGCCCGGTGTCCAACCATTCGTGCCGTTGTGCGCCGAGCAAATTTTTCACGCTCAGGCTGAGCTCAAACTGAGATCTCTATTACTTCATAAAATTAACTGTAATATTCAAATTGAAAAGGCATTTTAAAAAATAGATGCATATGCTTAACTTCTAAGTACATTTTCTTTAGATCTCGCCTCCGGAAGTTTAAGAGATCTTCCCTGCCATGGGGAGGGGAAAAGCTTCTGAAGTGCCTGTCTTCCCGCAAACCATTTCATGGGAGCATTCTTCTCCTGAATATTTTCGTGCAGATGGGCCTGGCTGAATGCTTTGATTAAATCAGTCTGGGCTCTCTCTGGTTGCTCACAGGTAAAGTTTTCCCGCTGACAGGCAGTCAGGTCAACCCTGCAGAGAAGAGCTCCTCCAAGGAGACCGGATGACCCAAGCGCATGCAGGTGCATGGCTTGGGAGGGCACTCTGCTCTCCTCAAAACACCAGCTCACTTTAAGCCTTGGGGCCTTTAGCCCAGCGGGCAAAGACTATATGCCTATCAGGCTGCTAATTTAGTATGTTGGAGCACATCATAACCAAGGACTGCTGCAGTGGGGGACAAACAGGCATCTCTCACCAGCTGCTTCCAGTCCTCTCAGCTGCAACCACTAGCCACCGGAAGGTTGCATGTTTCCTGGCTCTGAATGCAGTCAGCTCACTGTGCAGAGCATGGCTGTCAGTTGGGTACAGCTGCACCTTTTGAGACCAAAAAAAAAAAAGAAAAAGATAATAAAAAATTTCCTTTTATCAATTTGCTCTTTTTTGTTTGTGAAGGCTGATTGTGGTGTTACCAAGTGGAAGCCAACCCCAAGCTGCTTTTGGGGTGGTCACCTAAAAGGGTTGGTTTCACAAATTAAAGTAAAATCTTTTCTCTGTGCATTTAGGAAAAATATTTGCTAAAAATCTAAAACACTTGCGTATTTTTTAATGCTAGCAGATCTAATTGTGAGAGACTAGTCTCATGTTCCCAATTCCTCTGCTTCTAAAATTTGATTACAGATGAATATTTCTGCTTCAAGTTATATTCTTAAACAGAAAGGGGATACAATTTCTAGGCTGAGATGATGACAGTAGAAGAAACTAAGACATTTTAACAACTTGAACTTATTTTAAGGAAATATTTTGTCTACACTCTGTAAGCATGTGTATTCTCATATAGACCAACATATGGTAGGTAATGAATATGTCATAAAATTACTGAGAGAGAGAGAAGAAGAATTATTTTTAAATGTATTGCTATTCATAGTAAACAGCAGCCCAAAATTAGACTCTCTAGATATAGATAGTCATAGCCAGCCTATGATGGAGGTGATGTTACTAGCAAAGGTTGCCTGAGTGATTGAATTACTGTTACTGGCTTCCTGTTGTGGTTATGTTAACAAATAATTTATAAAGAGTCAATCACTGTCACTCTAGTAATTAAAAGCATGTTACGTCCATGAGTGCTGGTGTTGCATGGGTACATAAGCGTGGTCATAAAAATTGTCAGATTATTCTAGGGAATCTTGCTAAACTATTGTAATCTCTAACGACCTGTAATAGTCAACTAACAATTTATCAGACCGTATACTGATAATTTACTAATCCATGATAAATTGTGTATAAATGTATCCTTACTATGAAATTTTATTTGACTTCAATCTGACAAGTAACAAAATCAATTAACCGCTTGAAGCGGCTCCATCTTCCTTAAAAGACTGTATTTTGTATGCATTTTTTTCTGATTAAGGAAAAGTGCTCCAGAACTCTTCTGTAACTATTCCAGTCATTCATCCCTTCACTCAACACCCCTGAAGGGGAAATGTGTGTAACCCTTCACCCATTCTTTGATTTGAGAGTTTAGTGCTTAAGCAGAGCAACATGAAAATACTTGGACTGTTGAGTATGTATGTACAGCATGCACATACAGAAAAACTTAAAGAGTCAGTATCTTTCTAACGTTAAACCTTTTTTTCTTAGTTGTTCTTTTGATCTAAATCTGTAGATTTTTGGCTCATTTGTAGAATCATTTGTAGAAATTTAGTTCATACAGTAAAAAAATTCTGATTTAAACCTTTCTCTATAAAATTAAATCTTTCCCAGAGAAGTGGGAAACTTCCCAGGAAGTTTTCTTTCCAAAAACAGATCCATTTCCTGTGCAATAATGTTACTGTGCTTTCCCCTACACCCATAAATGATGGAGATTTGAAAGCTTACATTTTAAGCCATAGCATATTTTAGATAGAGGTGTTTTTGTGTATCTAAGGCCAAGTCGTAAGAAATTTTTGTTTTTTCCCCCAAAAATAACTTAAAAGATTGATAGAAGGTTAAAATAGAAATCTGACAGCACTTCACAATATCCGAACATGGCATATAAACACCTTTAAACACAAAATACTGTGGGAAATGTCAGACTAACTCCAGTAAAAATAAGCAGCAACTGGTGTTTCTGTGTGTGTGAATGCAAGCCCAGTGAATGTAGAATTTCAAACACAATTGCATGGCATTTATTTAATACTCTGTAATTCAGTTGCCATAACGGCAAAGAGGAATACTGCAGCCTTGACTGATTGACAGTGTGTTTAAAAAGTAACGCATTAGTTATCAGCAAAACACTGTATGACAATTTGACTAAGTATTGGAAACAACCTACATAATGACATACTCACATGTAAAAACTGGATAATAACTAGTTAGGTAATTTCTACCTTTCAGTAAATGATGTGTGCCATGTGTTTGTGAAGTTTGTTGTATTCAGACAGCTGATTCAACAGTGACATGAAACAGGCCAGTTCTGGTGGCATAATTCTATCTACAGAACTGCACCAGAAGAAAATTCCACCCTATTAATGGTGAAAATGCAGCCTATTTTAAGTATATATGTATATTTTCAAAAAGTTTTGTCAACAGTAATAAGTAAGAGTAACATTATAGACAGTCATACACAATGGAAGAAGGTTACACAAATGAAGAGAGGAAATCAACTATAGGCCAAATCCTATAAGCAGTCCATGCGTCCACATCCAACAGGAGTCGTGGATATGTAGGCCCAGTTCTTAGCTCTGGGCCTCTAACCGACCGAAGCTTTCAGCAAGAAAAATGGCCTTTTGTCCTCATCCTATGTGAACATTTTCAGTAGAGCCTGACACATGTTCACGTTGCTACAAAACTATCCTGCTTGCCCAGTGTTTGCACGCTGAACTTCACAACCTTTTCAGCAAAAAACTTGAGTTGTTCTTGGAAAATAGCAGTAAAGAATCAAGTAAGTGTAAAATACATTTTTGAGATGTATTGGAGTATTTTTGAGATAGATTGGAGTATTTTTGTGATCATACACTAGATTGCTCTCCATTTTATGGAATTGTCCTAAATCCACTGGATTTTCTACTGTACAAATAATGCTTTTATGAAAAAACGTTTTAAGCATAGCCATCATGAGTGGAATTTCCACACATAAAGAGCAAATTAAAATGGTGATAAATGCAGTAGTTCTCATTCTGCTTTTCTATGAGAGAGAGGGAGATCTAAAACTATATATATATTTCTTTTAAAGCTGAGCTGTGATGTTTTTATTAGAGGCAGCAGTCTGTATTAGAGTGCACCTTCCATCTATAGCTTTGGGGTACCAGGCAACACACTGTGAGCAGTGAATAAAAGTGCAAGTTCTCTGTGTCTATACAAAATCTCATTAATAAATTCCAGTTTTAGGCAATAAAATCTCCGGCCAGTCCTCCTTCCCCTTCCCCCATGCCATCAGCATCACATTGCAGCCTCTGAACTGGGCCCCCTGTACTAGAAATTACTGTAAAGCAGGCCTAAGTTCCAGTCTCTTCACCCAAGACCTAAGTAATTAAATTATGGTAATATTGTTAGATGAAATCATCAGATGTCCTTAGTCTCCGTTTTACCCAAACTCGATCCTGGCAGGTATTTGAATGGAGTAATACCTTGGTCATTTCAGGTTTGAGACCAATGTCTCTGATATATTTGATTTCCTCACAAGGTATCACCTATATTGAGGTGCTCTTGTTCTCTCAGTCACTGAATACTTTTATTTTCTTAAAATCCTTTTTCAGTACTTCAATCCAGAAACCAAAAGTAAACATCACAGAACTTGCCCAACGTAAAGAAAGTTGTTGATATGTGCATTGTGCTTTTAAAGCAAAGGATATGCTACATTCTATGCACTTTTCCCAAGACACAGACTTTCTATTAAACCCTATTAGCAATTTTTATATACAGTGAATCATCTTTGTGTTCTCTTTTCTTTATGACAATTGATGAAATGCAGAGAATTTTCTCCATCAAAAAAAAAAAACCAGCAACAACAACAACGGGTAAATGTATTTGGAACATGTAATGGAAAACCATCATGAGTAATATTTTGTAAGGGTGTAGATGAATGGACTGGCTAATTATTGTATCATGTCAGAGCCTGCAGTCTTGAAGGATTAGCTCCACTAATAAAGTGGTGCGCTTACATAAATGTCCTGATTTATTTTAGGTTATTTGATCATTCCATGGAAGGATTTAAAAACTGGGAGTTTATGACTACTCACTGCTGGAGTGAAAAAGCAGCAGGTGACTGGATCTTGGAAATCTGTGACACTCCTTCTCAACTGAGAAATTTCAAGACTCCAGGTATGCCTCTGGTCTGTGTTTGATTTCAGTGGAGTGAGAAGGACGCTTGTCTTTGCTATCACTTTTTCCACCTTTTATTTACACTTCTGACATCTCACACATTGGTTAGTGTGAAGATGGAGAGCTATGCGTTATTGTTAGTAACAGTTATCAATGCACTCCTCATTTTGATGTTGCTGTTATTTGTCATTTAAGACTTGTAGTTCTCTTTTGTCCTGAACTTCCTCCTGGTTTCCGTGGAGAAGTTCATGTTCTCGGGGGTACACTGCACCCTTTCTCGCTCTCAAAAGTTGTCTCAAAGTCTAGGAAATGACTTTGGCCATGTAGAGCTGGATCGTACCAGACTTGTGAATTCTTCAGGCAGAGACAGGCTCCTGTATCATCTCACAGCTTACCAAGAGTCAGTGCTTTAAACACAGGCAAATTTTTAGTTGATGGAGTTTTGAGGAAGACACGAAACGGCATGAAACTGCATGTGTCATGTCTGAGAGAATTTATAATATGTAGGCATCTGTTTTCATGGATGTTGAATATAGTTTTGTCAGAGATGTCTCCAACGTAAGTTAGAGCAGCGCAGAGCTAGTCTATTGTATTCAGATTGCCAGGGACTCCCGTGCCTGATACAGGGCCTAAGAATTTATTTCCAGGTTATTCCACTTTGCTTTGTATTTTTTATCCTACCCCTAAGCAAAACAGTGGCATTTATCAGTGTTTACGTAACTCGGAAATCTGTTTATACAGAAGAGAGAAATCCGTGGCTCACTACACCAATAGGTTGCATTGTGCTCCTAAGCCTACAGGTAAAGTGCGCAGACCACATATTTGCCCACTTAACAAACTGTGCTCTTCGTAAGAACTCTTGAGGCTGCAGATATTCTCCCATTTTTAATTCCCACTACACAGTTCAGTTTCATTCACAAATTTCAGTATAAGCGTCTCGAAAGAAATGGAGGTTGAGGCAAGGGCTTTCAAAGAGACTCATGGGAGTGGGTGCTTACTCCTATCTGCTGGTTATGAGATCTGCTGGGATTCCTTTTAGGCCCACTCAAAATTTCAGCCTTGAGACTCACTTTGAAATAAAGATCCTATACACAGAAAAAAATACTACTCTTATGTGTGAAAATACTGAATACAGTCCTTGTCTTGGGGCCTCCCATCAAAGTAGGTGGAGACGCTAAGAACCCACCAATTTAATTTCCGTAAAGATTTCCTTTAATGAAAATAAGGAAAGAGGTTATATTACATCAACAAGGAATACGTATAGATTAAAGAGGTTTAATTTCTTTGTTTGTTAAAGAGCTGAATACTGCTAATGTATTGGAAATTATTTATCACTAGGGCTAAATTATTAATCTTAATATATTTGATTGGACAGCATGTCAGCGAGCTATAGTATTGCATTAGAAGTGGCAAATCTAGTTGATTACTACTTTCAGACATCTAAAAATGAGTTCTGCATGGAATGAGTTTAAGATTGCCATAACATTACCAGTAGAATATTAGTTTATAGTTCAGTGAACTAAAAGGTGCATTACACCTCAGGCTTCTAAGTAAACTCATGGAAAGTCAGGATTTTCTAACTGATTTGAAAAAAGCAATTCTGCATTTTAAGATACAGATGTTAACCCAAAATAAATAATTTGAAGCCATAAAAACATATCTTTGTGAGCTTAACAACAGGAGGGTTTTAAATAAGCTTGTTCCTGAATGAATAGGTCATTGAGAGTCCTTAGAACTATTTGAATGATCTTCACAAAATATAATAAGTATTTTTTTTTTTGTAGTACACAAAAAGACACACGTAAAGAAACTATGACTAAAATGCCAAATAGCGTGCTTAAAAACTATATGTTTAAAATAACAAAAGTTAGCACAGTAGAACATATATGTGTGTAGCTGGCCATTCTAGAAGAAGGTTAATTGTTTCAATTTGACTTTGTCAAAGAAAGGCCCCAAAATGTTTCTGCCAGCAGCTGTGGAGATTCTCTCCATAGAGTGGAATGCCTTTTCTTCCTCTTAATTGAAATTCAATTTGTTAAATTACTTAGATTGAAATGAAGGCTATGTGCCATTTACCAATTCAAGGTAAATGTGCCTCTCTCAAAGGAATTAACAGCCCTGGGAGGCTTGTACTGTTTTCTCCTGCAGCTCGCAAATTCAGCATGTAGAGAAAGCAAAGGCTCAGTAGGAATTCTAATATGTGAACATAGAGTTGTCCAGTGATCCTGTTTCCTTCCTATTCCAAGTAGTATATAGGCCAAACTCAACTGAGCTTATGCAGTTTTGTTTGAACAAAAATATGCCTTCTCATTTCAATATTAGGAAAAAATGGAAGCGCTGATTTTATGCTTCTTAGATGATTTTCTTTTCCGAAAATCCAAATCATAGATCAGCCGCACCTAACAGCTGTTGAAATCAATGGTATTAACTTGAATGAGAATTTTAGTCCTTTATTTCTGTTCTTCATTAGCTGGCTGAATTATGTTCTGTTTAATGCAGCAGATGGCCAGATAGCCAGTGGTTCTGATTTTATATGCATATATTTGTGTGTGTGGGTGTGTGGGGGTGTGTGTGTACATATACATATATATATATACACATATACATACATCCATATACATATATACACATATTTTTTTTTCCAGAAAGAAATGAATATGTGTAATCAAATTTGCTTGCTACCTGTCTTGGTTGACTGCATCTGCACTACCTGAATCTTGCCTATTAAGAGACTAAACCTGCAGTCATAAGCCATAATTTTTAAAATCTGGTATGTAAAAAGAGGCCTGTAAGTCCCTACTGAAGACTTTTTAATAAGCAATGTGATTTTCAGAACTGCTGAGCAGCAAACAACTTCTTATGTTGTTTGCATATGTCTGTGGTGACTCTAGGGTGGTCAGTATCATTTAAATGTTAACTGTATACTCAGGAGCTAACATTAAGCATAGCATTTTGAAAATCTTAATTATCATCCTCTAGAGGTCTGAAATAAAATAGGACTACTGCCAGTGTTTCAGTTTTCACTTCATTTTATCCACACTGATCATTTCTCACCATGGTGTTACACTGGTGACAAGTTCTTAGCTAATGATATTAATTGTACCAGTTAATGCTGAGCAGAGCAGAGTTTCCAGTACACTAAAAGGCGTATTCATTGAATGTATTGGGAAGAGCAGCCATAAACTATGGGCAAAACTATACAGTTATTTTTCGTGTGTCCAGAGAATTTTCAGTGTTTGTGAATTTTGATAGAGGAGAGGTACTACCTAAAAACTAGACAATTTAAAATTAATCAGATTACTGAAGAAAAAACGAAGAGAGAGAGACAAAAATCAGTGATTTTCAACTCTGTCTTATACTTGTTATCCTTGAAGCAATGAGGAGCTCCTCTGGCTTGAAGGACAAGCCCTTCACCGCTGCATATACCAGCACCCGGTGGTTCATCCAACAGGGAGGAGATAGCCAGAGAGCAACACGTTTCAGCTATTCCCCCCTTTTCCCTGCCCTGGCATGCTCCCTGCGTTAAAGCTTAGAAAGGAGCTAGAACGGAGCCATTTTGGAAGCTCTCCACCTGGGCTCTTCTCCAGACATCGTTTACAGCCCTTCTATGTCACCAGGACAGTCTGAAAGAGACCAGCTACATTTCTAGCTTTACACGTTAAAACCTGTTCCTGCAAATTCTTTCTTTTTTTTATGAGTGGACATAAATCAGCAAATCAGTCTTACTGATTTGCTGATTTCAATACTTCATATATATTCTTCCCAGTGCTACCATGGCTAATATTGCAGGAGTGATTTCTTTGCTCCTTGAGGACAAAAACCTAAGCCCTGCGGGAAAAGGGGTGGTAAGGCCAGGAGATACAGAGACTTGCCTGGCAGGAGGTGGTGGAGGAAGCTACTGTGCTGAAGGAATCCTGTTGGGAAATTTATTCTTTGCTATCTTTTAATCTGAGTGTGAAATACTTTTGGACTCATTAGTTTTTTACATGCATTTGTATTTCATAAGATGAAGTCTAGTCGTGAATTTGGGCCCTGGTACGTTGTATCCTCTGTAGTGTCATGTCGCCAGGTGTCTAGGGTAGTGCTTGCCTTGTGATGGAAGCTGTCCCGTAACACTTCTGCCCAGAAAGATTTGAAAGCTCCTGCTGTGTATTAGTAGTGGATAAACTCAGCCGTTTGGGCCTGATAGGGTTAGTCTCCATGCTGAACAGAATGTGAAGTAAGCAAAAGGTGCTTGAATACGATTTATGGTGCCTTTCCACTTTATCACCATAGTCTGCAGTTTATCACACTGATATCACCGTCGTGCCTGTTTCTTGTTTCTGTATGTGCGGATATTTCTTTAGCTATTGAAAGGTCTTATAATTAAGAGCTGCAGTTTTTCTGTAATCAAATTGAGAACAAAGAGCCAACATGTCATCATACCCCAGCATTGGCAAGGTAATGCCACATCTGTTACCCGTAAAGAAATGCAGGGTCCAGTTCATAAAAACAGAGCATGTGATTTCTGCATTTAATTCTGTAGAGTTTATGGAGGCAGACATGTGCTTGCTGTGAAATGCTGCGCTATACCTTTTCTCCTACACATACAATGTGGGACCTCTGTTACGTACTGAGTACAAGCAGGGTAAGGGATTATTGTAGCCAAACTAAATGATGGAATCAGCTAAAAATGGGAATAGAAAGATTTTGGCTCGAGTGTGCACACTTTGTTTATTCATTTTAAAAGTGTGTGTGTGTATGTACACATACTTATTTATTGAAATATTTTCATTGTGCAAATTAAACCTGCCTTGAGGCAGGCTCCATTTATTTGCTGGCAAGTCGCATGAATTTTCTCTCTCTTTATTTACTGAACCGTTCTTAAAAGGAAACTAATCTCCTCAGAGACCCTGCATTATTCCCCCTGCTGCCTGGTTGCATTAGATAAACCTTAAGGCTCCAGTCCTTCCTGCAGGTACAAGCAGGTACAAGCCCCTCCATATGTATGAAGTCCAGACACAACAGTACACTATGCCTGAGGAGCCCCTTTGCCAGTGGTTATTTTTAGTGAGTCCTTCCAGATATTACTTTCTAGTGTTCAATATTTTTACCAGTGTTCTGGAAGAAATATAAAATCAGCACTTGGAAAGTTTTGTGATCATTGGAGCAAAATAATGATGAGGATGGAAAGATGTGGCTAACTTAGCAAAACACATATTTTTTGATTGCATCCAGTGTATTGTGGTCAATATACTGTAGAAGTGGGGTGAATCACAAAAAGGACAGAGATTGCGTAGGGAGAAGCTGTACCTTTGAAAAGGCTGTAGAGATGATTGCTTGTGTAGTTAAACATGACCTCCCTATATAACTCTTTTGCTAAAAGGAAAGTGCCTGTAAGAACCCAGCTGAATCACTTTAAAGAGCATTGACAGGTAACTTGATCCTTAAGTGGCTATACCAGAAGAAAATATGAGATTTGGGTTTTTTTAATCTAGTGGGGACTTAAGAGCTTCATGGCTATGAGCTAGACCTGGGAAAAGACAAACAGAAAATAAGGTGCATAGAGTTTGACAGCCAAGGTAAATTAGCCAGCTGTTTGGCAAGAGGTGAGGAAGGTTCTTCATCGTTTACTTTTTAAAATCAAGACTGAAAGTTTCTTTAAAAGTAATGCTTTACTTCAGCAACAAACAGTTGGAAATTACTGTGAGAAACAATGTATGATGTAGAGTCTTGCCTACACTCTTTTCTTTAAAATTGAGTATAGAATAGAGAAGGTTTCTTAGACAGTGTAGAAATTTCTATCAAATAAAGATTAAATTGGGTTGGCAGAGACAGAGTAAGATAGCAGTTTTATTCCTATCTTTAACCTCAATATAAAACCCCAATATAAAACAGTTTCTAAAAAATGGGTTATCATCTGTCAGGTAGCTATCATTCCTCAGTGAAATCCATAGCTTTGCTTATTGTTGCTTAATGCTTGGAGGACGAATGTAAAGGCAGGGAGATAATGTTCAGTCTTTGTCGTGTCATCAGAGGATACCAGAAGACATTGGGAAAATACAGAAAAATAACTTGATTCTAATAAAGGTCAGAGTAATTTGCTTGGACAGGTTGAAACAGTACAAGTGAGGAATATGAAAACCTGAAACAAGTTATTGAGTGGCACTGAATTTAATTTTGCATGAAGTATATTAAGTGATTTTCCTGTGGAGAGGCTTACCTGGATTACATTTTTTCTAAACCAGTAGTTCAAGGGAAGAGTATTTTAACCACAGAACAGCCTCCAAAAATAGGATCTTCCAA